TATTCGGAGGTTTGAAGGTTTGAAAGTTTGAAAGTTTGAAAGTTTCAAAGTTTAACAATTTGAAGACCTGGAAATTTGAACATTTGGTAATTGGTATTTTGGTAATTTGGTAATTTGGTAATTCGGTAATTTAATAATTTGGTAATTTGGTAATTTGAAAATTTGAAAATTTGAAAAATCACAACAACAAAAATATTCAAATTGAGAACCACTTTTAACATAACCTCTCTCGACTACAGATCGAAGACTAACACACCTATCACTCTAAATCAACAGCTACACCCACAAAAAAAGTTACAGATCCCAAAAGAATCAGCAGGCCATCAAATATTGAACAATCCCGAACAAAATCCACCAAAAAGATCTCCATCAGAACACAAAATATTAAAGACTCGTGTAATTTACGATTCGGGGTAGCTAGCAACATGTCCGACGATAATTTGAAAATTGATAACGCACGTACCACCGGCAGCAGCGGCGCCATGAATCTTTCATATGCACGCTCCACATCCCTCGGGGATTGCCAACCAAAGAAAAGCAAGCTTCCTCTGGTTTCCCTGCAATTTTTCAACGAAACAACGCCTTCCATCGTCAATCCTCGGAACTCCCGTTCGAAAAAGGGCAGAATATTTTTGAAAGCAACCCTAATGATATTTTCCCTAAGCATCCTTTGAATTGGCACGTGACGTGGGGTTTGTTTTCTATGCTCGTCACAGGAAATGTACGAGCGGCAAAAGAGAGGGAGGGAGACAGGTTGCGGAAAAAGGAGGCGCGGAGGTGCGGCGACGTGAAATTAATTTTACGCCATCTACGTGGCTTTGCAAGCGAATGCGGCCGGGTGTTAACAGGCGGCCGGGGATAAAATTCAATTTGGCAGGGTACCCGTGATAGCGTGATACCCTGTCACCGAGTAAATTAAAACCGTCTTGTTTCTTTTACCCGTCCCCCTCACTGACCCGTTACGTCGCGGCTTATCGCGTTATCATCGACGGAGGAAGGGCACTGGCGACATCGATTTCCACGGTGACGTGGACCGGACAACCCTTTCACAGTTTCCTCTCTACCTGTCAGGTGTCCCTCTGAATGTTCAGGTAAGTTGAGGAATTTTTAATGAACTTACCTTCGATGGTTTCGAAGTTGACTTAGGAGATGTTTGACGATGTTTGGTAAGATTTGATAGTGTTATGTATGAATTTTATAGGGATTAGTTATAAATAATATAATGGTAACGAATATTTTAGGGGAATATGGAAGTCTTTCGGTTGCGGTGATATTGTATTTGAATGCTATCGTGTTTGATAAGAATATGAATACTGAATTTTGGGGATTTCGTGAGAAATGTTTATTTATAGGTTAATAAATAAAGGTACGTGGGAAATGTGAAAACGGGAGGTCGTATTGGGGAAATTGAATAGAATTTGTGGAATGACACTTTTTCGTGCGGAGCTTCGTTGGTGAGATAAACGTGACAAGATTGGTCGAACGTTTCAGTTTACTAGCTACGTCTGATCATAGCCAGACACTTCTACTTATTGCAAAGTTATTGCGAAGCTAATCATTATCCACAATATCCTTACACGACTCGATGATCAATAAGTTCAACGTTCAACAGGAAAGCAACAACACTACACTGTCGTCTACTCGCAGCAAGTAGAAACATCCAGAAACGATCAGACACGCAATTAACGCAAAAACGGTGCCTCTCACGAAAAAACACCTCTCCACACTTTCTCTTCTATTTACCCCGCGCAACCACCTCCCGTAAGGTTCACCCCCCAAATCGCAACCCCGTCGGAGTTATTCCCATCAATACCCCAGAATCCATCAACAAAAACGAATTAACTGCAACTTCTCCGGTTCGAGGCGAAGGATTCTCAACTTTCCCCCCCAATTCTCGACCAGGTAACGCCGTGTCTTTCGGCACAAAAGAAAATAAGATTACCAACCCCCGAGTTTAGCGAAGTCCTTTCTTCAAATTAGCATTTCAACGGACAAAGAATCCCGCGGGGTCTCGTGAACACTTCGACCAGTCGCTTTCGCGTGTTGCATATTAAAATAAACCCCTCGCCCCCTTTCCAGCCCCCTCGGTCACGTAACCGTCGCTTCTGGTTATCGAAAGGTTAATCCTTCACCGAGCTGTCAACGGGAATATTAATTACCGTCAAGGACGGTCTGCAATGCTTGCCCTTTGTACAAATGCCTGCTCGTTTATCAAGGACCCCGGGATGGGGGTGGGGGGTACACGGACTCTCATTAAGCCGTGTTAATTTTCCAAGGTTCCGCGTGACCCTCGGCTGATCGCTCGCTGACATGAACCCTTTCGCACGGTGGACCCATCTCGTGAATTATTCGCGACGATGGTTCTCGGCTGACGCTTCAAATTGAATTGACCGCTGTTCCGGGGTGGATAATTCGGAACCATTTGTGTGCGGTTTGTTGCGGATTGGCGGTTTCGGTGGTTCAAGGTCAGAGGGCAGGGGAAGGGGTAGCGGTTGACGCGGGTTTGTATTGTACTACGGGAATTTTGGGGTTGATATTGGTGGATTTCATTGGAAACTTTTGTGATCTGAAATGGGACTGTTGATATGAGATTTTAGTGGAGATTTTTGTGAAGTTATCAATGAAGTTATTGTAATAATTGATCATTGGTGAAGTTATAAGAGAAGTTACTGTAATAATTGTTATTGGTAATTGAAAGAGGAGCAAATCACTTTTTATTCATTTAGAAAATGAGATATGAAAATGAACTTGCTGTTTAAACAGCATGGAAGAATGAAAAGATAAGTAAATTTTTAAATAACTAAAGTCCTAGTTCTCCTTTTAACTGTTTTTAATGTAACAATAGTAACAGCAAAATAACCAAAACTGTTGTCCAAGCACAAGAAAGCCACGTCAGCAACTGTAGCCAACTATAGACTCCAGAATGACGCAGAAACACGTCAGCGGCTGCCAACATGTTAATAATCTGCCACCAAGGTCTCTATAGATCCTCAATCAGATTAAAGGCTGGTGCAGTAGTCGCGGTAAATAATACTAATCTACAGAATGCAACTTTTTTTTTTGTCTCAAAAGGTTTAATGGAATATCATAACAGTATTTCTTATGTATATGTATTTCTTATATAAATCAATATCTTTTTTTAATTCAAATTTCCTTTGAACATTTCTTATGTATTAATTATGAAAGTTACTGAAACTGTTTTTGCACAGCACTATTTCTAATAAATATTTCTTTTCACTGGCAATGGGTCTATCTCGCAGACAGCTGCTTCAAGACACGTGAATGCAGTTGAGTGTTCGCCAAAAAGTCTTCAGTTTCAATGGGAACGGGTGGAAAAATGGGAGAAAGAAGAGGACTAGGTCGAGCAACACTCGGAGGACCATTCAGCGCCAGCCGAAAGGTGTTTAAGCGTCCGCCGCTATCTGGAAACTGATTTATGGCCGAGTTGCTTCGCGATCACCGCAAGAAAGGGATTAGTATGAATATTCCGTGACCTGGAAGTAATGGCGTCGCGACGTAATTTGTTCACGATTTTTACCGGGCTGCTCGCGACGTTGACAAATCGCTGTTAAGTTGTCTTCTAATCTACCTTCGTGAATCCTTGGATTTCGAAAATATACACGGTGTGTCCTTCGCTCGAGAATTGTGAATTATGGACTTGTGTAATGATGTGTTGACATTTTATGTCGTACACGGAGGATGTGTATGTTTAGACTTTTGTAAAATATTTATATTGTATATTTGTTTATATTATATCTATGTTGTAATATAACTTTATACATATATATATATATATAATATTATTATTATTGAACTCCCATAATTTATTGTTAATGAATACCTTAATAAAGTATACATTAATCAAACGATAACATGAAAAAAAGTATTTATTTTAATTATTCTTTTTTACCGCCAATATTAAATTATATTTGAGATCAAATTAAGTGTATTTTAATATATATTATAATAAGTGCATTTTAAAATTATATAGAAGTTCAATATCCTTATAGAATTATAATTGACAATTTAAACTCTTGACTTCTAAAGAATATTTAAATTAACGAATTCAATTATAACTTCGGTATTAACATTACTTTCAGCACCGTGAAAAAATTATTAAAGACAAAAATTCAGATAGGTTTTTCATAAATTTTCACTGTACAGAGATCGGAAATGTAATTAATAATCTTCTTGATATCTAATTATTATGAAGGAATAATGCTCGTGAGAAATATTGTAATATAATGAAAGGATTTAATGCGATTTATTAAAGATTCCATTCTGCTTTTGAAATCAATTCGAGGAAATTTCTGTCTGCCACCTCAGCTTCTATATAATTCCGTGATAATTAAAATAAATTATGTCTGCGACAATTAAAGCAGGTATTACTAAAAACGGAGTCTTTTTACGTTTTTCTTTTTAATGGTAGCAAGTTCTTTGCTAACGAGTTATCAAAGGGACATATAACAACATAATTCAATCATTTAGCTTTAATTAGTATCTCAGAGATAATTTTATACTCGTAAATATTTTTAAATAGATTTCACGGACAGCTATGCAATCTCTAGTTCCTAGTTACAATTAATAATCCTCTCGAAACCAGTGAGAAATATCATTAATTAATAAGGCAGTGGCACATTAAATTTGAATCAGCTTATTGTTTTCGAAAACAAATTTTTGAATCATTCATTTATAGTATTAATTATTTCGTGAATTTCAAATTTGCGATGTTTCACGAATTGTTTTCAAATTAAGATTATAATTCTATGTAAATAATTTCTGTCTATAATTCTGTGAGATTATCTAAACGTATAGAAGATAATCGAAGGTTCTATTTTAACATAAAAAGATATATGTATATTTCATTAACATGAAATAACTAAAATTGTAATCTAGTATTAATAATTACAAATTATGATGACTATATCGAGTAATTATGCATCATATATAGGTTGATATAAATAATTAGAAATTAATGAAAAGAAATTAATAACACTCACCATCATCAGTTTCTCGTATTCTTCCTCGATCACGGTGCCATTGTAATATCGATTCATCGACTTCGTATCGGGATAATAAAATCCACGCTTGCAGATGCATCGGTAGCTCCCACGACGAAATCCCAAACCTGGTATGGCGATGCACTAGAATCAAAATTACATGTTCATTAAATTATTAAAAACTTAAAAATTTTAAAGCTGAAAAGATTGTTGAAAAATGATTGATTCTAGACATTTAAAATATTTGTTAACCTTTTGTTTTAAATGAAAGTTAAAATTTGTTGAATTTAATTATTAACATACATATTAAAAAAGTTGAAGTTCTGTAAATTGATTATCTTTACTATTATTCATTACTATATACTACATAACAGTTTATAAAAATAACCAATGGTAAAGTATATATACAATGTATAGTTATTTTGAAGATCCAATGTTTAGCAATTTATAAAAATATCCAGTGATAAAATAAATATACAATATATAGTTATTTTGAAGATCCAATGTTTAGCAATTTATAAAAATATCCAGTGATAAAATAAATATACAATATATAGTTATTTTGAAGATCGAAAGTTTAACAATTTATAAAAATATTCAGTGTTAAAATAACTATACAATATATAGTTATTTTGAACATTCAAAGTTTACCAATTTATAAAAATATCCAGTGATGAAGTAAATATACAATATATAGTTATTTTAAGTATCCAAAGTTTACCCATTTATGTCTCTTTATTGGTCAATTAACGAACGATTCGTTAAAAGTTCGTTGTCAGGTACAGGGATGCTGTTTACCACAGGGAAAAGTATAAAAAAATGTTTGAAAAAGGTCGTTTACCTCGGTGGTTCGTTTTTTGCACTTGTCACTGGCTGCAAATATATTCAGCTGCGTGGATCCAGGTGGCAAGGGACACTGATCTATGTCCAACCTTCGTAGATCTATATCTATACCACTCGTCCCCCTGAAACAAGCAAAACATAATGTTCCAATATGAATTAATGAATAAAAAATATTAAAGATATTGACCTTATCGTTAAAAACATTAATTTAACGTTTCAGTAATTAAAACATGAGTAAAACGAACTGATAAAATGAAGCATGTTTTTAAATAATCTTTATATAACTATCTCATTGTTATAACTGGATAATATTTATATAACAAATTATGTCAAAAGAAGTAAATATTTTAAACAGATAGGTTTAACATTTAAGCAAATTCAGAGAACAAAACATAGATCGATATTGTAGTATCTAGAATATTTATTGTAGGATGAATGGTTTGTTGTGCGTGCGTAAGGGCGACCAGGTCGTATTGCGACGGACCGGCGCCGGGATGTTTGTAAAATAGTGTGACTGCGTTTAGAAAATCTCGGGTGGCTGAAAGAATGCGAGGAAGAGTGTCTGGAACTGAGCGACTGAACCTTGAGAAAAGCGTGTACGTGACTGCGTCAATTTTGACTATGGACGAAAGATGCGAGTGAGAAGGATGCAAGGGTGAGAAAGACAGAGCGAATGGGGGTGTGTGTTAAAAGCGAGTGGGAATGCGTGCGAGGAGGACATTTTGGTGAGAGACAGCGGAGAAGAACATTTTTGTACGTGATAGAGAGTCGTGTGTTGGCCTTCGTGGTATTAAGTTGTATTTTTAAGTGTTGTCCATATTGTTTCCTAATTCTCTTTTTACTGAAGATCCACCTTTTCAATATCTATAATAATAGTGGCCCCACTATAAAATTGGGGGCTCAGCCGGGATTACTATAATATAAACAAAAAAAATGTTATCGATTATAAAACAAAGAATAAATCTTTTGAAATCTGTCGCGCATTCTGAATATTTTTAACGGTTACTATTTTCCAACTGATGTTTTCCCTGTTCCCCTTTCAATCTCGGTTTAATTAAAAACATAGGAACAAAGGCGAAATAATTGAATTTTTCTGTACAAAAACAAACAGTAGTAATTTCTCGCAGAGAAATAACAAATTATAAATGCAACTTATAATTAAGAATCGTTAAAGAAAAATTGACGTTCTCCGTTAGAAATAAGAATTTATAATAAAATTCTCTACCAATAATACAGTTATTATTCCTTCAAAAGCCACAAATAATAACAGAATAATTTATACTAACTATATTAATCATGATTTCTATGTACTTATCATTTTCTAATCAATAAAACTCGTATTAGGTGATTAATTTTAATGGAGGAACTGGGAATTCGAATTTCGTTGATTGATAGCTATCAATGATCGATGGGAATTTATTGAATCATCGTGATGTCGACAATTGACTGACTGAATAGTTCATGTGACATTTCCGACAGGCAAATTAGATGAACAAACGTAACTTACTATCCGATCGCGGAGGAATGAGACGTCATTATGATGTGTTGAGGTAATTTCATGGAGCGACACGCACTAATGAGACCACTGACTCCACCGTTGTGGGAGGGGCTAGGGGGTGGGGAGGGGGTAGCATAATTAATTACATTCCGTCCGCACGAGATAGTATCAGTTTGAATCAGGCGTAGGAACCACGAGTCGATATTTCATCGAACATCGTAACAGCTTGGGAAAGCAATTTAATAAAACGCTATTGAAACTGAGACGAGATCATTTATCCGAGCCTAAGTCAAGTATGAACTAATTTTGATTAAAGACGTAGACGTAATTCAGGATCGATGAGCATGGGTCTCCTGTCAACTGCAGATGGTCTTGACTTCAACTTGGTTTAAAATCAATGTGAATTTCATACTGAGATGAGTTAGGTTTGGGTTTGTCTTTGTTTGATGTGTGATGTGTATTTGGATACAACTTAAATTTCGTTGGTATTGTTATGAGATTTAATTTTAACTTGAAATTGATTTATGATAATTTTAATATATAACATAGATGTAATTTAGATTAACTTAGTTTTAGGTTTGTCTTCGTTTAATGTGTGATATGTATTTGTATACAATGTTAAATTTCGTTGGTGTCGTTATGAGATTTAATTGTATGTTGAAATTGATCTAAGATAATTTTGTCATATATAAAATAGATATAATTTAGCTTAACATATTCAATTGAATCTTGATTTAAGATAGATCTAACATAGACCTGCTAAATCTAATTTAGATTCAGTTGAATCTCAACTTACATCGAATATATACTTTCAATTAATTTACCTTCGGTTTACGTTTGTCTTCGTTCGATGGACTTACTGATTCAATATACACTTAAATCTAATATAATACAAACTCAAACCTACACCACAACATCAAAATTCACTCAAAAACTCAATAGAACCCTATCTCAACATAGAATACACATAGTCACACATCAAACTCAAACAAACTCAAACAAACTCAAACAAACTCAAACTTCGAAATACTGTCAATCTCGACCACAAACTTAATGTACACTTAAGTCTAGTAATACAAACTTAAACTAAAATTCAATTCGAACACAAATATAATATAAAACAATACACTCTCATACAATACAAAACGCAACAAACATTTTGATGCAATATGTATTCAAATCGAAACTCAACCCTAAGCTACAATAGTCTATCTAACTCACATTAAAACAAGTGTCCCAGGAGTTCGCCACGAATTTAACTCCTCCTGACACCCTCAACACAAGCTCATCACTCGTAAAAGCGAGACTTAGCATCTAGCATTACCAGCCACGAACTTTTTCCCATTATCACCACAGTCCAAGCCACAATCATCATTGAAACACACCAAGCACCGGATCCACTATTAATGTAATCACCCCGGCCATTAACTCCTTAAAGGTACCATTAATGCTTTCATCAATAGCAGCTCCATGCGTACTGGCACCGCGACGAACGCTGCACTTCTCCCGCCATTACCACGTGCGACGGCACTATAACCGACCGTCCCGTCATTAGCAACGTGAACCATGCATCTTACAAAGGGACACAAATCGATCCGTCTACGCCGTGCGATTCCCTTGTCCTCTTGAACAGGTGCTCCGTTTCGGCCAGGTGTAGCACATGTACTTACATCTAATCATCGGCAATTACTGTACGCAAGACCGTTTGCTGTTGTGTAGCGATTTACCTTTAATGTTATTGATATTTTAGTTTAAAATGTAAAATATTCTAGTATTCGTAGTGTATGTTAGTATTGGAGTTACTAAACTGGTCAACATGTTGGTAGATTTATAGGTGTACATTATGTAATAATTATGTATTATGGTTTTAATTAGATATTATATGTTAGAGTTTGTAGCTCTTTATTGGTAGATTTATATCTATACATTATAGTTGATAGCCCTTTACTGATAGATTTGTCATTATATATTACAGTCGATAGCTCTTTTATTGGTAGATTTGTAGCTATATATTATATAGTTGGTAGCCCTTTTATTGGTAGATTTGTATCTATATGTTATAGTTGATAGCCCTTTACTGATAGATTTGTAATTATATATTATAGTCGATAGCTCTTTTATTGGTAGATTTGTAGCTATATATTATAGTTGGTAGCCCTTCTATTAGTAGATTTATATCTATACAATATAGTTGATAGCCCTTTACTGACAGATTATTTATCTATGATTACTGAAGAGACGAAGGTGATATTTTCAAAGCATCATTGTAAAAATTTATGTATTTGTATTCGTGTTAAAATATAAATTAATTGGAAAAGTTGTATAACTGTTTGTAATAAGAAATATTCGTAAGTTGCATAGTAGTGCTAGTGTTGTAGAATCTTGTTGACAGATTACTTCGAATCGTTAATTTTTTCTCTGTGATGATGAATTATAAATGAATGAAATATTAAATAATTTTTATGAACTTACTGGTGAAACTTCTAATGTGCAATACAATTTAAAAGTATTTATTTTCCTACGATTGATTCCATTTCCCCAAGGGAAATATTTATTTTGAATTTTCATTCCAAGAAGCAATATACCAACTTCTATTTTTTAAATGAAACCTATCAAAAAGACGTTTCTAATTTATTATTGCAGTATTAGAGAAAGAACATTCATTGCTTTTTCATAGCTAATTCCAAACCTCACTGGCAGATCTCGCTCCACCTGACTTTTTCTCACTCCCAAAGGTGAAAAATTTCACGTCGAGGTAAGTAAGTATATACGGTCCGAGTAGAGAACTAAAACGGAAAACGAAGAGGAAGCACCTTTCAAAAGATGAGTTGCTGTGTGCAGTACCGCATCAGTCACCGGAAAGCATCCGAAGTAACCGTATAACTTCAACTTCAAGCGACAATTTTCACGAGTAACGACCCTGATATCCTCAAAAACCGACACAAACAAGTCAGCCCTCTGCACTCGAAATGTGTCTTTATAAAAATATAGAGAAATAAAACTTCATTTGAACAACAACAACAAATAAACAATTAATTATTATTCTGTTATTCATTACTCAAGTACTTCATTATTTACATAAAGATCCCTCATCCACTACTTACCGTTCGTTCATTAAAACAATAAACTACTACACTAGAAACCATTTACTGCTCTTTTAAATTAATATCTCGCAACTTATTAATTAACACATCATGTACCGTCTAATTTTCAGAAAACCGAGATCAACTTACATCACTGTACATACAAAAGCTCAGATATCAAATTGTTATGTAATATATTTAAAATCAACAATCAATTCGAATCAAATTTAATATCTTCTTCAATTCTATAGTAATTAGCAAAGCTCAACAGCTAAGTGTCTTTATATAAAAACGAGATTTCCCGTTACCAGTATGAAATGTATTAAAATACATCGATAGGAATGTTTCTAGGCGAAAGAGAAACATTATAAGGAAAAGTTCAGTTCGAAATTATCGTTGACAAAATAAGAACTCGATAAAATTGGAAAAAGAAATAAACGAAATGATGTTTAAAAAAAGCATGAAATCGTAATTGGGTCAAAAGAGACTCGACGTGCGTAACAGAGTTAACAAATATGTGTAACAAATTTTTCGTTCACGC